CTCCGGCTCCTGCCCCCGAGCCTCCTCCAGCCCCGGGGGCTGTGCGCGCTGGGCACAGCAGCCCCACAGGAGGGGCTCAGAAGTCCAAGGGCGCAAAGTCCCCAAAGTCACAGTCGAAGAGCTCGCTGATGCCCTCGCCCTCCTCCAGCCCGAAGTGGTAGTCCTGGGGCTGGGGCGGAGACAGGTTGATGAACTCCTCCGGCAGGAAGCTCGCAAAGTCCTCCTTGCTCTGCTCCAGCAGAGCATCCACGGAGGCCAGCGGCGAGAGACTCACCTCGTCGGCTGCACACTTCAGCGGCAGGCTGCTCTCCCCGGGCAGGAGGGGCTCTGCAGAGACACGGGCATGTGGAACGGGAGGGCAGCGGCTGAGTAACCCCAGCCAGGCTACCAACCCCCGCCCCGATGGTTGCTGCATCGTCCCAACCCAAGGAGGCTGCAGCGTCTTCCCGCCACGCACCCAGGAACTGCCCCACCTGCCTCCCAGGTCACCTGGCCACCTCCTCCCCAGGTTCTGCACGCGCGTGGGGCGGGAGGACCCCTGCAGTACCCCACAGGAGCGTGTGTGAGGGGCAGAAGATGCATCTCTCTTATTGACGCCACCCCTGCCTCGACACTGGTCAAACCCCAGCATGCCTGGTACTGTGTGCACACAGACAGCTGCCCCCAGAGCTTGCTGCCTACAAGCAGACCCACCGGAGACACGAGAGCCTGAGGAGGCTGCTGGCGTATGGATCTGCAGCCGGTTCCTGGGGGAATAACCCAGCCCAGGCACCTCACATATGGGGTCTCCAAGAACAAAGCTTTGTTGCAAGGCTGGGGAAGAATCAGTCTTCCAGGGGCTGGAGCCAAAGGTTCAGGAAGTAGCCCAGGGACCACAGCAGGTTAAACAGACGCATCTTCTGCGCCTCAGGCACTCGCGTGGGCACTGCCAGGGTCGTACTATGGAGACACACCGACCTCCTAGGGCTGGGAGGGACCTCGGGAGCTCATGGAGTCCAGTCCCGGCCCCCACGGCAGGACCAAGCACCAGTCCTGACAGATTTGCCCCAGATCCCTGGGTGGTCCCCTCAAGGACTGAGCTCACAGCCCTGGGTTAGCAGGCCAACGCTCACGCCACTGAGCTCTCCCTCCCCCCATGTGTGCAAACCCCTGGGGGAGCAGGGGGCAAGGTGATCGGGAGGCGAGTGGGGCAGTTCTGTGGCTCTCCTGCTCATCAGCTGAGATTGGGGTCCAGGCAAGCCGAGGGGCTGGGCCGGTGGCCTTGCATTTGCCCCGCGCGGGAAGAGGTTTCCAGTTTTGGTTGGGAAGGAGTCAAGGGCAGAGCCAATGGCTGCTTTGAGAACACAGGCAGAAAAGGCCTTTCCTGCGGCCCTTCCCTTCCACATGACAGCCCCCCGGCAGAGCCATGGCGCCCCGCCCAGCCGAGCGGGCCAGGGGGCAGGTAACAGTGCTGACTGCAGGCCTGCCTGTTTGTTCCCTCAGACCCTGTGAACCGAACAGCCCCCCCATGAGCCCCTGGGGAAACTGAGGCCCGGGCACAGGAAGCGAACACCCTCCCTCAAGTGGTTAAACAGGGTCTCTAGCGGGGAGGAAGCCGCTGTCATGACTCTGAGTGGGGTGACAGCAGGACTGCCCAGGCTGGGCCCTGCTCCCTAGAAGCAGCACACATGCTGGCCACACCTTGAAGCCACGTGGCAGACAGACAAGCCGGGGAGAAGGACACTGAGGCGGGCAGAGGTAACAGGCCCAGGCTGTCGCTATCGCCCCACCCAAAATACCACCAGTGTTCATCCCTGGCTTGGCTATGCCCCTCACTGCCCAGCCCTGCCCACTGCCGAGGGCAGGGGGGCTCC